TTGTTTAACAACATACCGATTGTTCGATTGATGAAATCTATCCAAAAAACTTTCAGTAGACAAAAACATAAAAAGGGTTGTGTAATTGACACGATATAAGACCTTTATACAAGAATGTAGTTTATCCCTCATAGCCTCGTTTTATCCACATAAAAATTCAATTTGACATCTACCCTCACCCTGGCTTAGGTCTATTCTATATGTTCTTGTAAATGGTAGAGCATGATGACAAAGTTTACTTATAATCCAAACGGGTAGCAGAAATACAGTACACACGCATAGCTTATAAACGTGACCGGACAATGAGTGCAGGAGAAGGTAGCCTACCATATAAATAACAAACTGAAACAAGATAATTAATCAAACACAGCTGAAACAAACAAACTAATAATGACTGTAACCAAGGAGACAAACGAGTGGCGGGAATCTGAACAAGGAAGACACATGACAAAATAAAAACAAACTTAAGTCCATACAGGAACTGAAACAGAACCAGTGACAGTGAGGTGTGAAATACTGTAATTCCTTTCTTACTTTGAAATCTAACGTTTACTTTTCTTAAATGAGACCGGCTCGATGTCGCATGCCGCCTTCAAATGCGACATGAGACGCAGTTATTGTGTCAGTGGCATCCTGTTCTCATAGAAGTCATCATCTTGAATGTTTACTTTAGTTATGGTTACCTGCATTCTTCATGTCTATAGGTGAGGACATAAAGTAAATCAAGAAAATTGGCACACTGCAAATGCAAATAAAATTTCCCTTCATTTATTAAGACATTTCCCACAAAGGCAACGTTTCGAGCCAGCCAGCTTTTCATCAGGCCACCCACTTTTTTCTTGATTTACTTTGGTTTTATGAGCACCTACAATGTTTTTTTGTACTTTTATGTGGATAGAAAGTATAGCTAGATGTTGGCGCTGCTGTAAGCATGTTGTACAAAGAGGATGATTTAGAGTCATTCTGGGTTTCACTTTATTTTGATGGTCCCTTTAATACATTCTGTTGTCTATAAGTAATATTGCACCTACATGTCTACTAACTCTCATTAGAGTATTAGTAGAGTATTAGACTAATAACTTACACTAGGTTATATCAATGTTGATACTGTACATTAATTCATATTATCTGATTAATCGTGCAAGTATCTTTTTGCACAATCCAGAAGTCACAATAAAATCATAAATCACTGTCATTTTTTGCATTATAACTCTGATGTTCCAGAATACTAATACATGCGTCATGACCATTATGGTTTGGGCAAACAACTTTTGTTTAAAGAGGACTATTACTTTAATTCCTTTGGCATCCCTAATGTTTTTTTTTTTTTTTTGCAGTGAGATTCACCAGTTTCATCTTTTGGAAAAGAGGATCTAATCATCATTTGAATGAGACAGATTATTCTGTTCAAAGCCCTTTAATGTTTATTGGATTTTTTTTTTTTTTTTTTTTTTTTTGAAAATGTGTAAATGTAGAGCAGCATCGAAAGAATGTAAAACGAGAAATGAATGCAGAAATTATACATTTTTGGATCGACATATACAATTTTTCTACGTAAAACAGGGTCAAACTGCAATTTTTTTGTGATGTTTTTTTATTGTTTTCTAAAAACCCTTGAATCACTGCATAAGATATTATGACTCGTTTTCAAAGAATGCATCTTGAAAACAAATGTATTTTGTCTTACTGCACTGGTTTAGTACAGTAAAGTCAAAAATACAGCTGTATTAAAGATACATACTCTGAAAGCATACTCAGTTTTGTACAACTGTTGCTTTTGAACTAAATCTTGTTTCAAAGATTTGAGATATTTTGACTGGAAAAGACAAAAATACTTATAAAGAGTGCTCTCAAAAAAGTCTTACTCTTAATAAGCTATAAGAATCTTCTTTGTAATATGTCTTGTTTGCTCTAAATATGCTAAAATATCTGTTTCTGTTTTCATTCAAACTCAAATAACAGGAGATTTTGCTGCCCAGCCGAAAGCAGGAACACACAACCATAAAACAATTATATGAAATCACTTTATTATCCGTGTGTGGTGATTCCATTTGGCAGGAATGTTACAGTCTAAAATCTGTCTATAACGGCATGCAGTGAGGCCTACAGGTGGAGCGCTCGGAAAACACAGAGGACACACAGAAATATCATTTACAACCTCACCTACAGTGCACATCATATGCATGCATACAATTCATCAACAAAGAGAGAGGGAGGTGAATCTACATTGACTTAAAAATGCACCAAATAAGAAACATAATTTTTCCAAATTACAACCACCTAGAGACAGGAACAGATTACAGACTGAAAATCACACCAAGATAACCACATAGGACAATGCAGTAGAACAGTAGACACGTACATTCATATAACAACAATGGAATATTTCATAACGTTACTGTGTTAGGCAGTATCTTCATTAGCATCTGAGAGACACGGAATGACTTTGAGTAAATGCATGTCAAATGTTGATTTACATTTAGAGAACATCATGATGATTATGCAATTATTTTTTACTTATACAGTACTGAAGTAAACATACAAAAGATGGTCTGGGGAATGTTTTATTGTTGATTGTTTTTTAAACTTCAAATTGAATTGTGTGATCATTTCGTTTGTTCTTTGTTTGAGGAATCTGTTTAAGACAATCACAAAACCCAAAGCCCAAAGAACTGACATGGTAGTCACATATTACAGCACTTTAGACAATAATGTAAAAGAACAACATTAAAATTAAGGGGAGGGGGAAAAGAGTTAAAATAATAACAGCAGACAATTTCACAAAACAGGAACACTCTTTGGTTTAATAAAACAGGTGATGATATAGGATGAGTGATGGGTTTTTCGGGCAGTATTTATTTATCAGTGCAGCTGATGAGAATTCACCACGTCACAACGATCACACTATAAGAGCGGCAGAATCGAGGGCAGTTGATATTCATCTAGAAAAATCATGTTTGTGCTCCAAAAATGGCCTCTGTCGATTGTAAAGTACACTCTGGGTGGCAGAAATGTGAGATATTAAGTCATTTGCACGGAAGTTTGCACGTATTTTGTTTACTATGCTAATGCTATGCTAATGTTTTTAGCTGAATCTCATCTCTCCGAAAGTGGTACAGCTGAAATCGTCACTTCTTGTGAGTAAAGGCCTTAAACACAAGTGGCAGTAAATCTGACAACATTCAGGATGATTGACCACTGGCATTAGTCTGTTCAGCTGTTGAAGGACGCCATTCTAAACTGTAAGCACATTCATATAATAAACTTTAATATAAATTTAATGAACTCCTTGTTTCATGTGGTACATGGCAGGAAAGCTATGACATCGATGTGCCCGTGTGCTTTAAAACGACACTATTGTACTCTCAAAGCCACGGCGTATCGTATGCTTTATAGAGACACTGAAAAAAACGTTTCTCTCTTCATTCACAGGCCAGCATGGATTGGATGGAATGTCTGGAATATTCGGATTTCGGAATGTTCAAAACAACGGAATGGCAGCCTGATTCCTAGTTGTGTTTTTCTGAATCTTGAATGTTGTTCAAATTTAAACATACACATCTGCGCCTAACAGGTTTTCCTGAACGCGTTGTTATTTACAGTAATTGCAGACATAATCTAACGAGAATACAAGCACACGCTATCAAACCGCGGCCAAGTAGCTTATCTTTTAATTTTCTTAGTAAAAAAGAGAGGATGGATAATACAATCTGACGTTGCGTCTTTCAAATCTGAGTTCCGCTGTTTTCCCTCTTGTCAATGCAGTTACAACAACGAGAAATAACGTCATACATAAACTAGCAACAAGCAGGCATAAAACACGAGTCAGATCCGTTCGTAGCTCATAAAATAAGAGCCAGGCTTTGTTTAGAGACTCGAAAAAGTAGGAATCGCGCAACGTCCTTCTCCAGTTTCCTTTTACTAAGCTCGCTTGACTGATACTAGGAAGACGACACGGCATTTGCACACAAACATTCTCTAGCAAATAAGCTGAATACATAGCCATGAAGATTGTCTGTTATTGCTGATCTGGGATCAGAGTCCCATAAACAACCAACGGACACAGGACATCTTCATTTAGAAACAAATATTGCACCATTGTCACTGTCTGTTTACGTAATGTGTGCTCACAACCATGTTGTGAGAGCTAACGTAAATAAATGTAGACACTAGAGAACTAGATTCTACTGTACAGCAGTGAAGATGAAGAGATTATATAATTATTTATATGTATAGCCCTATTGATCCAATTGTAGTTGTATGTGATCGATGTCACCCCACACAATCTTATACTGTAAAAGCACAAACAAGTCAATTCAAGAAACACCTAGCGCTATGGTCTCTCTCACTGTGGCTAGCTAACATATGTGATTCCTTTTTATTCAATCAAATCCAGTTTACAAGAGTGTGATGTGAATGTGCGTGACAACGTAACGAGGGACGTATAGTTTGCTTTTCTCCAAACGAAGATCTGGTGAGCAATATGCCATTTAACACTGTACAATGTCAGACAACAAAATCCAAAACCATAGTTATTGCCTTAAATTTCAGTGTATTTCAGCTAAAAATGCTAAATTAAATTGGATATAGTTTACTGATAAAAAAAAAAAATGGTAGCATGCTTAGAAGAAACAGCAAAACAGCCAGATCATGTACGTTCTCTTCCATATTACAGTTTTCAGTCATGTCAATCGGATACAATGTGACAATTCATGATGATAGGAACTGTATACTAGTTTGAAGTATGGATGTTAAATTAATCTGTATACAGTATATATCTATAGGTAAACCACATGGATTCATTAATAATATCTATAACAGAGCAACAATCAAAAGTATGATATGATTCGGCGAAATCCCTCCGAGATAAATTATGGCTTGTACTCATAGTCATTGTATATTTTTATATATATATATATATATATATATATATATATATATAGGTATATTGATATATATATATATCCTAAAGTCATATACAGTTATTTTTTCATTTGCTATTTACAAACAAAATGAATGAAGCATGAGGAATATTCTTGCTCTATGGTCCGGACTCAGGGGGCATTCAATTTGTCTTTGAGCAGAGCGTTCGCAATGTAACATTTCTAGTGCACAAATTGTATTTTTCCTCATTCTTTTAATAAAAATAAAAAAAGTCACTTGTATCGCAGCTAAAGACAGATGTGATGGCACACGATTTGAGTCCAGAGATCTTAGAACAAATGCGAGAGAGAGAGAGGGGAAGGGGAAAGAGGAGGTGGCTTTCATGACATTAATGATTCCCGTTTTATCACGACTTGTCGTGGAATGCTGTTACTTTTTATTGAACATATCTTGAAGCGGGCCCGGGAGGAACTTCATGACGGTGTCCACGATGCTCTCCTCCTCCTCTTCTTCATTCCCGCAGCCGGCAGGGATTGCTTTCTTGGGACGGGTCAGACTGCCCTCTGACGCCTGCTCCATGGCTGCCTGGGCTTCTGCCTCCTTCTCTTCCTTCTTCTTTATACCATACTGAAAAATACACAGCAGCATGTTAGGCCTTCAATCTTCAATCAGGTGAACAAATTCTTAAGCTTGAATGGATACTTTGACAATTTTCAATCTGGTTTCCGATCGCATCACAGCACAGAGACAGCGCTCATAAAGATAATAAACGATATTCGCTTAAATACTGATACAGGCAAATTATCAGTACTGGTACTACTCGACCTCAGTGCTGCATTTGACACTGTTGATCACGACATTCTTCTTGACAGGCTGGAAATCTGGGTGGGGCTTTCTGGGATAGTCCTAAAATGGTTTAGGTCATACTTAGAAGGGAGAGGTTATTATGTGAGTATAGGAGACCATAAGTCTGAGTGGACATCCATGACTTGCGGAGTCCCTCAAGGCTCAATTCTTGCGCCACTCCTGTTCAACATGTATATGCTCCCAATGAGCCAAATAATGAGAAAGAACCAAATTGCTTACCACAGCTATGCAGACGACACACAGCTCTACTTAGCCCTATCGCCCAACGACTACAGCCCCATTGACTCCCTGTGCCAATGCATTGATGAAGTAAACAGTTGGATGTGCCAAAATTTTCTTCAGTTAAACAAAGTCATTGCATTTGGAAACAAAGGTGAAGTTCTCAAGGTGAATGCATACCTTGACGCTAGGGGTCTAACAACTAAAAATCAAGTCAGAAATCTTGGTGTATCTCTAGAGTCAGACCTTAGTTTCAGTTGTCATGTCAAAGCAATTACTAAATCAGCATACTATCATTTGAAAAATATTGCAAGAATTAGATGCTTGGTTTCCAGTCAAGACTTAGAGAAACTTGTGCATGCTTTCATCACCAGCAGAGTGGATTATTGTAATGGACTCCTCACTGGCCTTCCTAAAAAGACCATAAGACAGTTGCAGCTCATACAGAACGCTGCTGCCAGGATCCTGAGCAGAACCAGAAAATATGAACACATCACACCAGTCCTCAGGTCTTTACACTGGCTCCCAGTTACATTTAGGATTGATTTTAAAGTATTATTACTGGTATATAAATCATTTAATGGGCTAGGACCTCAATATATTGCAGATATGTTCACTGAATATAAACCTAACAGATCACTCAGATCATTAGGATCACATCAGCTAGAAATACCAAGGGTTCACTCTAAGCACGGAGAGTCTGCTTTTAGCTATTATGCTGGAACCAGCTTCCAGAGGAGATGTGCTCCTGATGTGCTCCTACAGTAGTCACATTCAAATCCAGACTCAAAACACATCTATTTAGCTGTGCATTTACTGAATGAGCACTGTGCCACTGTTCGTCCGACTGTTTTTACTGTACTTTATTTTTTATTCTAAACTGTTTTAATTACCGGTATTCTTATTTGTTTTGATTATTTTAATTTCTTCTATGTAAAGCACTTTGAATTACCATTGTGTATGAAATGTGCTATATAAATAAACTTGCCTTGCCTTTCCAATGTCACCACTTGCTGTTAACTCTTTTTTTTAAACTAGTTTTTGGCAGTTTTTCTGCTGTATCATTTTTAAGAAACCCAAAATTTTAAAGAGGACATATTATGCTTTTTTTAAATTAATTTGTTAAAATGTTTATACATTTTCAGCTTTCTTTAGAGTGTAATGTTGCTGTTTGAGCTTGAAAAAGGTCTGCAAAGTTACAAAGCACAAAGTCCTCTCATTTATTCTCTATATCAGTGTGCACTGTTTCAGAACTCCCTGAAACGCCTTGTAGTCTTGAGTTTTCTTCCGGGAATAAACACATCACAATATTCCTCATTTAAATAATTCCCGCCCAAGGCATACACTAAAAAGGGGGTCAGGCCTGATATGTATACCTTGAATTCAATATAAGTTACATTGGATAAAAGAGTCTGCTGAAAGCATAAATGGATATGTTTATGCATGTACTGGACACTCAAAAACTGTGTGCTGAAAGTGGACACTTTGGGTTGCAGGACAGGATAGGCCAGAATAGGATAGGGTAGGATAGGATAGGACAGGATAGGACTGGATAGGAAAGGAAAGGAAAGGATAGGATAGGATAGGATAGGATAGGATAGGATAGGATAGGATATGATAGGATAGGATAGGATAGGACAGGAAAGGAAAGGACAGGACAGGATAGGATAGGATAGGATGGATAGGATAGGATAGGATAGGACAGGACAGGACAGGACAAAATGGGATAGGAAAGGAAAGAAAAGGAAAGGAAAGGAAAGGAAATTTCCTAGATGAATCACATGAATCACATGACTATTTCCTCTTGATTAGCATACAAATGTTTGAGCATTGGAGAATTCTGGCTACACTCAGTTCTAGATTGTCTCATGACATGAATGTTAGAAACATTTAAATTGGGATGGTGTATGTCCATAAAACCTTGGCAGACTGCCATTTGGCAAGTCAGTGTAATTATTTGGGCTTGGCAGTTAGCTTAGTGATTCACAGAAGCTTCATTTAGATCAGAGACACTTTCTCATTTACAAATAAATGCCCTGATTTTAAATGGTGTGCCGGATATTGGCAAGGAAATCCACTTCATTAGAGAAGTACTTAGATGACAAATGGTCCATTTCGTCTTTGTTTCACCCCCAAAGAGTCTTTCACCCCCAAAGGGTCCGAGGCTCGTTAATTCTTGCCCATTCAACTGTTTTACCCCTTTAGCTACACTAGAAAGACCACAAAGAGATGAAGGAATCTTCCACTTTAATTGTGCTCTTGCCGTTATTAAAGTACTGTAACTGTTTTCTATTTTAAAATGTTATTTATTCCTGTGGTCAAAGCTGAATTTTCATCATCATTACTCCAGTCTTCAGTGTCTGATTCCCTTCATTTCTGATTTTTATCAATGTTGAAAACAGTTTTTTTTCTGTTTAATATTTTTTGTGATAACTATCATACATGTTTTTTCAGGATTCTTTGATGAATAGAAAGTTCAAAATAACAGAATTGATTTAAAATAAAAGTCTTTTGTAACATTATAAAAGTCTTTACTGTCACTTTTAATCAATTGAATGTTTCCTTGCTGAATAAACAGCAAAAGTATTAATCAAATTGATAAAAAAAAAAAAACTTAATGACTCTTTAAATCTCAATAACCCTTAAAAAATCTTAATGACCCTTTAAATACTTTTGAAGTTGTACATACTGTGTGTATGCATTGCTTGTTTTAACTCGTACAACCTGCAAATGATGGGTTCTATTTCCTGTATCACTCCGGGAATCATCCTAAAGGAATGATGAGTAGTAATGGGAAGGAAGGAGATTTATATGAAGGAATGATGTTTAGGGCAAGCCATATTCCCCCCCTTAGGACTCTTAGCGTCCCTGAGACATATATAATTGTGACATCTTGTCAATAAATGGATTAAACAATGGATGATTTCTTCCTCCGACTACTGAGGTCACAAACTAGCTTGTGCAATCAGCAGCTGACTTTATAAACAATGATTTTCTTAAACTATCTATAATTAGGAATAATATGGATTCCATCCCTTGTGTAGACATAATCGTATTAATGCAGCTTAATCTGAGAAATACTTAATGGGTTACTTGAAGGGAGTGCATGGCAAACCCTGGAGTTCAGCCATCGTGGACAAGACATAAGGACTTCCATCAGTATTGCAGTCACATTTTGTACAGAATATGAAGATTCTGCCTTAATCCTTGTGGTAAATTAGACCCATGGGGTGATGGCTTATAGCAGAAAAAAGACTTTGGCCTCCCATCCTCTCTTAACATGGCTTTGCATAAAAATATATCTGTTTTACTCCAACTCAGTTTGTCACAAAAGGAAATCACCACTGAGACTCAGGAGCCCAAGGTAAATTATCGTGACAAATTCGTAAATGCCAAGTCTGTTAAGCAGAATAATTATTTCTAGCTCTGACTTTAGTACATCTGATGAAGCAAATGTTCTTGATGTCATTTACACAAGTTTCCGGCCAGTAAATGCATATTGAAGAAGAACATTTTAAGTAATTAAGTAAAAGACTGTTTAATATAATCTGCCTAAAGACTATATCTAAAAATTTAGAAATTAACTTTCATTAAAATATACTTAAAAAACATTCTGTAACAAACAGTAGCTCATGTACATTTAAATGATCATAAATGAGAGCAAATTAATCACAGTTTCATGGCAGTTCTAGTATATGAATGTAGATTAACTAATACTCTGCATTGCATAACGTAATAATATTTGTAATAATGTAATGAAGCTGTGAAATATCACTGTCTTTTATTAGAACAACATTTTCATTTGAATAATCCCTGGGTCTTCCCTTCCATGACACCTTTTTCTTTTCTTTTATTATTGCACAGCAAAGCAGCCATATGGCAGTGTGAGCGCAGGGACTCGAGCACAGTCAATCTCCACAGCCTCCACAGTAATGGAATGCTTGCCAGAGCTAGACTGTTATTTTCCCAGTCCCTCTGGTTCACAGCATGCACCCTCAGGGCCCGTCCATTCTCATACACCACGTACCACTCAACTACATTCAGCCTCCCCGAGAGTGAAACAAACTAAGAAAAAAAAAATATATATATATTTTTTTTCTTTACAGTATGCATTTATGTGGTCTGTATAATTCACTATTCACTGTGAACAACTATTTTACAACATATATACTGCTGTTCAAAAGTTTGGGATCGGGAAGAAGTCTCTTCGGCTTACCAAGGATGCATTTATTTGATTGAAAATACAAAACAAACAGTAATATGAATGAAATATTATTGCAATTTAAAATAAAGTTTTTTTATTTGAATGATGCTGAAATTTCAGCTTTTCCATTACAGGAATAAATTACATTTTAAAATATATTCAAACAGAAAAGTTATTTTAAATTGTAATAATATTTCACAGTATTACTGTTTTTTTATTGTATTAAATAAATGCAGCCTTGGTGAGCAGAAAAGACTCATTTTAAAAAACATAAAAAAATCTTACCAATCCCAAACTTTTGAACGGCAGTGTATTATTATACTATTTTCTAAATACATAGATTAGTGATTCTCAAACAAAAACAAAGCATGATCATACTTTTCTTTAACTGGGGAAAGATGGGTTCTATTTAGGGTTCATGACTCAGTTATATAAAAAGGAATGTCTTAAATTATTGCATAATGCTTCCAGGTTTAACAGGTTATTTAATGTTTTTCTAGTGATAAAAAAAATTGTGAATTAAAACAAATGAATTAAAACGGGAAACCCCTAAAAGGTTGTATATGTGAACTCTTTTCTTATAAGAGTGAAATAAAATATACATATGTAAATGTTTTTAGCATTTTACCACAGCTTGAGAATCACCGGTCTTGGCCAGTGTTATTTTTAGTATCACTTATATACCATTATTTTCTGTTAGATTTTTTTTATGTATATTTTCTTTTTTCACTTTAATTAAAGTTAAATAGGTCTATATAGCATTTATTAATTAATGAATGAAAATGATAAATGTTGCCTTGGCGACATTGCTGAAATAAAATAAGTTTAAGTTTTCTCATTTTCTTTCAAGTAAAATTTTTTTTAATGGTTTTAGTTTGAGGTTTAGCTAACGATAAAAACACTGGCCTACCGTGAGTGATCATACAAACATCTTGACACCTCATAACAGTCAATCATCTCACGATAGATTTACCTTGTCCCTGATGCCCTGTCGAAGCGATTCCCTCTCCGCTTCCATTTTTGCGTACTTTGCCTTCCTCTCCTCCTCCTGTTGCCTGAGGGCTTCCTGTCTTTCTTCCTCCTTTCTTTCAGCATCAGGGTCCTTCTCCTCCTCGCCCCCCAGCATTTTCCCCATGTCTTTGGTCGCTCCTTTGAGAGAAAGAAGGAGAGAACCAGGAACAGAAAATCACTCAACAGTCCACGAACTGGATCACAAAGAGGGACTTCCAATTTCCAAAGACTTTTGGAGGATAACCTCTCACAAGGTGAATTGAAAAGCTGAAAAATTAGTTCTCACAAGTCATCCAGCTTCTTTTATAAATACTCTCAATGGTGACTGCTCTCTTTGTCGGCAGGAGATGCGAGGAGGACAATAGCCAAGAAAAGCACAATGGGTCAGATTGTTATAACAAAAGGGCTCCATTAGGGCCATGAGAATACAGGATTTTGACAAAGCAGATAATAAGTTCTGATTGCATCCGCAGCTCACATTCATCTGCCATCACGCCGCTTGTTAGCGCTCCGCAGTGAGATTGTGTATCTCTCCACTGTTGGTCAAACCGTGCAACACGTTGTTAGGCTTTGTAATTAGCATTTAGCAAAAGACAAGTGTTTTAAATCACACATGGCGAAGTCAGAATAACTCTTTGTGAGCATGCAGCCAAAGTCATGCCCTTTAGGATGAGGGAATGTTAATTTTAAACGTAGAATTGCATTGAACATTATATAAAAAAAGTGAATTTTTCTTGTAACTCTTTCGTTTCTAATGATATATTTTTAAAAGTCTTTAGCAGTCACCAATATCTTGTGGTCAGTAATGCTGAGCTCAAATATAATAGCACATATCTAGCCGAATTCAAAAGCATACTTTCTGCCACCTTTGTGTCTGAGTTAGGCTGACATAGCAGAACAGAAGTTATCCAAGTTCATGCAATATGTATTCATGTCACGTCGGTTTATGCTGGGAGACAGAGCTCCATGTAAATGCATGAAGGGTTCTGTTTTCAGTCCAGGAGTTTTGTTCTCCCTGGATCAGCAGTGGAGGGCGGCACACTGCCATTGCCCACCAGTCCATGAGGTCTGCGTTCAACCTGCGTGACACCATGGTCTCGCATTTACTGCTCTCTAGAAATTGATTTTAATGAGGACTGGGTCTCTCTGACAGCAGAGACGTGTGAAGACTTCAGCTTAGATCTGACGATTCACTTCTCTTTCAGCCTGGGCTGCTCGTACACATCATATCTACATGAAGGTTGAGAGGACCAGGCTTGTGTTTACTCTGGACAGGGTTGGGGAGCGTATAGCCATATGCTTTTTATCAGGCATTTATGAGAGACCCAGTGTTACAGTTAGTGCCTGAAAGAGTTTATACATGTAGAGAAAGCTTCTAATGACTAGATTGAAAGTTACAGCTACAAAAACAAGAGTTTCACTATACTGATTAAAGTTAACATAGCAAATTGAGCTTGCATGTTCCTGGTCTTATTGTGTATAATTCATGCTATGTAATTTCGAGGAAAACATTTTTTTCTCCCCTTTTTTGTTGTTATTAGTGTTAGGGAAAGTTACTTTTAAAGGTATTGAAAAGGCGCGTTACTCCCTAAAAAGGAACTAATTGCGTTACTTAGTTACTTTTAATGAAAAGTATTGCAAATACTTTACTTTTGGGTTACTTTTTCTCACCTAGGTTTGATGGATTGATTTTTAATAACTAAACAAAAGTTTGGCAAAGTAAAGGCTCTTTCACACCAAAAGTGAAATGGACAAGCCTTCTGCTGGATTGCTGAAGAATAGGATGCAGGAGAAGATAGTTCAACGCTATCTCACGACCAATTCGTACGAATTTGTACGAGTGATTAAAAGGTGGCTAATTCATACGACCTCACTCGTACGAATTTGTACGATTTGTCTAAACCCACGTGATGGGTAGGTTTAGGGGCGGGGTCAGGGGTATGTCATTCGTATGAATTCATACGAATTGGACAACTCGTAAAATATGTACGATTTAGCAAAAATCTTACTAATTCGTACGAGTGAGGTCGTACGAATTGTTACGAATTAGCCACCTCGTAAAATTCGTACACGAATTGCCGTTTAGCAATAAAAACAAAAAACAAAAAAATTAAATGAGGTTTATTTTTTGCTTATTGGCATGCTTTAAGGTCAAAAGCGAAGACATTGGTAAATAAAGTGAGATTAAGTACATAAAGTATATTTGTGTAATTTAACGTCTAGAACTACAAAACCCATCATGTTCACACACAGCACACACAACGCCTCTGCACTTACTCACGATTCTCTCAACATGAGGACAGGAAAGCTGCCAGTTAATACAAAACAAAGTAACTTGCGTTACTTATTTGAAAAAGTCCCTCAGATATTTTGTTGTAAATGTAAAAGTAATGCATTTTTACTTGGAAAAATTTAATCTGATGACATAACTTGCGTTATTTGTAATGTGTTACTACCCCCTTCACTGGTTGTTATCTCTAGACCACACAGGCTAGCAAATGCTAACCATTAGCATAGGTATTTAGCTCAAAAAGACTTGCCAATCAACTGCAAACTCACATTCAGTCTGACTCTGTTATAGAACCCCCATCAATTTCAATCCATTTTTGATGAATCCAAGCTCTACTTTTTGTTTTTCTTGGAAATAGTTGCATGATGTGGGGTCAAAACATACATTTATATCACAAACCAATTGACTTTTCAGTGTAAGTGACTCACTTCTGTCTTGCTGTAATTCCAACAAAATGAAACAATTATCCCCACTCATATTACACTGGACCCAGCCATTCAGCGTCAGCACAATCAATAGCTTATAAGAGTCAGAACTGCACAACTATATGAGCTTGAACAAAACATGCCCACAAGCACTGCAGGCTTAATACTGTTCTCAAAATGACTTCTGGAAAGGAAATGGGAAAATGAAAGAAAACATTGGTCTTCATCTTTAAAATTTTAGAACAATTGATTTGGGGTTTTAATTTTAGAGTAGGATTAACCTATGAAAACTGACTCAGAGGCAACTGAACTGAAACTACCCACTAGGGCATCCATGGAAAGGATTAGCTGACATTACCGAAAACTTGCTGAAACCGAGAGATTTTGTAGAGAGCTGTCATCCTGAATTACCAGTCGAGTGCAGAGTATATATCCCTGTAGTGAACAGCTTTAGCAAACTCTAGGTTTGAAATGAGTATAGCTGGTGTGTATTCTCTGAGAATATCTTTGGCTGCAGTAGGTGAATGTCTTGAAGGTACAAACAGTGCTTCTCTCACTGCAAAGTATATTTTTAAATTGCTCAACGTGCGCTGTATTTGTATAATTTCAATGTAGGGGAGAATAAAGTAATGCCTGATATTTGAGGTTTGAATTTAGCATGGCACTCTGTTAAGAAGACCTAGCCAAAGACATATTTTATTAATTCTGTGGTTATTTTTTTAATATTTGTATTTTATTCAAGGAATTTTGCATTTAAGTCAACATGAGACGGTGTGCACAACCCATTTTTACGCCGGTCTACTTCTGAAATGTGACATATTTCTGAGTGCATGAGGATATTCAACAAGTAAAAACTCTAGGGTAAAGCCCACCAAGGACGACAACTATAGCTATAACGTTTTAATAATCGTTCTAATTCTCTGAGAATAGGGAAGTACACACCACAACTATAGTAACAACGACACAGAAGAACAACTTTCTTTCAGAACAATTTTTTTTCCATCTGATGAACGATAAAAACATTGACAGCCTACCAGAATACCACGAACTTTAAAGAGCTTGAGTAATTAAAGCAGCAGATGAAAAAAACTGCAGCATGTACTTATAATAAACAGACGCTAATGGTTATAGTTATCTTAATAGTTATTGTTCCTTTTCTTGTATTGTTTGTTGAGCCTTTGTCTAAAGACAATTTTCTCCCTCTGTGAGGATAGACAATAAAGCTTTTTGGATTTGAATTTGAATGTGCCTTAAGACTTAATTATGTCCTTTGGGAATTTATTTTAGACTATACTGAATCTAAAGACAAAAGAAAAGAAACATAATTAACTTAAAATGGATAATAACCTTGGTTGGACCATGTGCATTTGATGAAAAAACGTGTTTCAACTCAACTCAACTTCCAGTCCAATTAATATTAACCCTTATTTACCCCAAAGTTTTTGAAGATCACAGGCCAGAGCCGTCACTCTTTTCTCCCGTCTGAACTCTAGTGTTTTTCATTGTCTGTTTTTAATTAGAGCTGTTTTCTGCGGCTTGGCACAGGCTCTTGTCTCAGCTCCTCTGCTTCACACGCTGTTAATCTGCGCTCTTGAGGCTAATTAGCTCATCTGATCGTGACAAAGTCTCCGCGTGACACACAAACGCTTTACGATGTCTCTGTGTTGCTTGGCGCTCTCTACTGCTCAGCCACTTGTGCAGACCAGACCAGAGTCCCTAAAGTAGATCTCTTCACAACAAGCAGCTAACCACGCTAAAGCTAACGCTGTTCAAGGGTCTCCTCATCATGTGTCATGGTACGCCTGTCGGCCGGGAAGCCCTGTGCGATTTGAAAGACCGCAAAGTGATGCTTGAGTTTTGAAAATGGTACCGTCACTTGGGCTGGAAATGGACTGTGTTATATAAAAAGAGTGTGTATGCTTAAGTATGTGTCTGTTGTAGCGGAAAAAGTGATGGAGATGACGTACTTGACAGGTGGCGTATCCTCATTCCTTTGTGTGGCTGTCAGTGTGTGTCTGTGTCCTTACTGTGAGAGGAAGTGTGGGTAGATGAGAACAAAATGTGCCACTCTTTAGCCGAGTGCCTGTGTAGGAAAGGGAAACATGCCCGTAGGGCCGTGCGGTATATATCGTGTGATAGTTGAAATGTGCCAGCTGGTGCAGATTTTGCTAAACCATTCATACCACAGTAGATGTTTTAGTGGACAGAAGTTAACATGGCTAGCTTCAGCACTTAGATTCCTATTAGTTGCCATGCAACAAAAAGCATTTTTGTTCTCCGATTGCCGGTATCTGTTTATTTAGTTTTATGTACAATTTTATTACATTAGAATATATTTAAAGTCCCTCTGTAGTCAATCATTTTATCCCTTAAAACTCATTTTTGATCACCAAAATGACTTTAACTTTTTTTTTTTATCCTTA